GAGTCACGGTAAAGCCCACTGCAGACGTGCTGTTCTTTCTCTAAATCAATAAGCGTTGATAGTGTCCTGTTTTTCTCAAACTTTTGGATAAAAGAGTTTGCTAAATGCATAAATGTAAACGGGTTCATGTGTTGATAAAAAAAAATCTTATAATTAATCATAAACAATTTAAATAATATATATAATAAAAATAAAACCTGTATTTTTAATATTTATATTTTGTATTAATATTATCTTTAATATTAAAGTATTTAAAAAATTATTTATTTTTTCAACTTCATTTAATGTGACCATTAACTGACATCAGAACTGTGAAATTGTTAAATTATTGAAATATTAACTTAAAATGTCTGGGTGACTTGAGGTAAATATTTTATATCAAACTGGTTTGGATGAAAGAAAAGTTTGGGAATCCCTGCTGTAGTATATGGATGATATCTACATACTTATTTCTTTAATTATTGCTTTTAAATGTATGTGAATGAATAGTGTTTACAGCTTAATAACTAAACTGTCTGGTGATTTCTAAATGTAATGATTGTGATGCTTATATGACAGTGATGATAAATATGAAGACTTCATGAGCTTATACACGTTTGGGTTCAGTAGGATTTATTTTACAGAAATGAATACTTCTATTCAGCAAGGATGCATTAAATTGATCAAAAGTGACATTTATAATTTTACAAAAGATTTCTATTTCAAATAAATGCAGTTCTTTTGATCTTTCTATTCATATGTGAATCCTGAAAAATAAAATGTATCACTATTTTTTGCAATATCGGGCAGCACAACTGTTTTCATCATTGATAATAATCAGAAATGTTTCTTGAGCAGCAAATCAGCATATTAGAATGATTTCTGAAGATCATGTGACACTGAAGACTGGAGTAATGATGCTGAAAATACAGCTTTGATCACAGAAATAAATTACAGTTTACAATATACTCACATAGAAAACGGCTATTTTAAATTATAATAATATTTCACAATTTTGCTGTATTTTTGATCAAACAAATGCAGCCTTGGTGAGCAGAAGAGACTAATTTATAAAACGGAATTGATCATAAATCTCTTTCTGGACTCGCAGAGAACTATTGCTTCCCCGACCGTGTCCCGTTTGACCGACACCACCAAGTTCACCGGATCGCACAAGGAGCGCTTTGACGAGACGGGCCGCGGGAAGGGCAAGGCAGGGCGAGTGGAAGTGGTGGACACGTCCGGATACGTCTCCGGATACAAGCACGCAGGATCATATGAGAAGAAAGTTCAGAAACCTCCCCAAAAACCGATGTGAGATTCTCCGTCCAGCAGTGAACCCGACTCTATAAAGCACAAACAGATCTCCCATTTTCCACTGAGGGTGCGTCTTTTTCTGTGAATAACATTGAGTTTGTTCCTCTTCCTATAAGTGTTTTATTTCTAACTGGAACGCTGTTTACATCAAACGCCGACGTCACCAGCTGGTACGTTCCTAACAAACACGATGATGCCAAGAGAAAGACAAATGGCTACAGTATTGCACGCTTACTAGTGAAGGTTTTTGCTGTTAATCTGTGGTGAATATGGACATGAAATGAATATTTGGCATTTTGTGGCTTCTCTAATGATGCAGTAGAATCAGGCCTAAAATAGACTTTAAATGCTTGAGTAATGCAGTGCAAGTCCACAATTTGCGTTACAACAACACACAAAACATTTCCATTTATTTTTTTAAATGCATTTGGCAGATGCTTTTATCCAAAGCGACTTGCATTGCATTTCAGGGCTAAATTTGATCAGTTCATGCATTCCCTGGGAATCGAACCCATGACCTTGGCATTTCTAACACCATGCCCTTTCAAACGGCAATCCTGGTAAATTACCGTAAAATTACCAGAATGACTTTACATAAGTATGCTGTTCACACAAGCAACGGCGTTCTGGCTTTTTACCGGTAAGAGATTATTCACACATCAGCACCAAAATACCAGTAAATTCTGTGATGTCAGTCATCGGAAATAACCTTTCAAAGCTGCGCCGTTGTCTTCATTCGTCCGCACGAGGAGAATGGAAAAGAAGGCCGGGTCTCGAGCGCAACATGTTGAAAAAGCAGCGAGACGTGTCCAACGGTCAAAGTTGTCCATCTAGTGCATATTTACATAGAAAAACTAATAAAAAGCAGCCGAGCTTACTGTAAACAGCTCAGAGTAATCACCTCATCTCCATAAGAACTATATGATTGGCCCAAAGCAGACTTAATTCGTCAGCGCGTTCTGACTTGGCATGTGCTCATACGGGTAATCTTCATTCTGCGTTCACACACAGCATCGTACCGTTAATTTACTGGTAATGTTACAACTTCCCTTACTGGTAAATTGCCAGAACCAATTTAGCGATATTTTTGAAAAGGTCCTGTTCACACATCATCTTTTACTGGTAATTTACCGGTAATTTACCAGTAAAGACTGTATGTGTGAAAGGGGCTTATGTTTCAGGCCTACGATAAAATATATTTAAATGTATTTGTCTTAGTATAAATTATGTATAATTTGAAGGAATATTTTACCAAAAAATGGAATTTGCTGTAAATGTGCTCACCCTCAGGCCATCCAAGATTAGGATGAGTTTGTTTCTTCATCAGATTTGGAGAAATGCAGCATTGCATCACTTGCTCAGCAATGGATGCTCTGCAGTGAATGGGTGCCGTCAGAATGAGAGTCCAAACAGCTGATTAAAACATCACAATAATCCACAAGTAATCCACAGCACTCCAGTCCATCAGTTAACATCTGGAGAAGACAAAAGCTGAAACAAATCATTCATTAAGACGTTTTTAACTTCAAACAGTTGCTTTCAGCTAAAATACTAGTCCATAATTCATAATTCCAGTGAAAAAGTGCATCTCCTGTTGTCTCTCACATCAAAATCGCTGAGACACTGATGCAATGCTACATTTCTCCAAATCTGATAAAGAAACAAACTCATCTACATCTTGGATGGCCTCATAATGAGTACATTTGCAGCAAATTTTCATTTTTTGGTGAATTAATTTGGATGCATTTATGGCTTGACTTGATAATCGTTTGGTTCTGCTTCCCCGTCTCATTTACCAAGATTTTACTCTAAAATATCTACTGATTTTGTTTGCATTTCACATATATTTTATAATAATAACCGAATGCATCACAAGTTATTGTTTGATGCATAAAGAATTGACTGCTGGTGCTCAAGATTGTATATCTAGTAGTTTGGTCGATGTTTTTTGAAGTTGATGGCATAACCATGTATTTCTAATGCTATAATGGCATAATATGAAGCACTGCCTGTGTGTTTTAACTGTGGAATGATTAACTATAGTATGTAAACGGAAACACCATCAGCAAAAGTTCAGGATTTTAAGATTTTACTCTAATATCTACTGATTTTGTTTGCATTTCACATATATTTTATAATAATAACCGAATGCATCACAAGTTATTGTTTGATGCATAAAGAATTGACTGCTGGTGCTCAAGATTGTATATCTAGTAGTTTGGTCGATGTTTTTTGAAGTTGATGGCATAACCATGTATTTCTAATGCTATAATGGCATAATATGAAGCACTGCCTGTGTGTTTTAACTGTGGAATGATTAACTATAGTATGTAAACGGAAACACCATCAGCAAAAGTTCAGGATTTTCTCGTTATTTCCCTGTTTGCTCTGCATCACAATATCTGACCCAATGCATGATGCGTTATCATACCTCAATACAGACCAGCGGGAAACGTGGCTGACTGTCCTTAGAAAACTCCTCGGTGCATCGGAACTAAAAGCTTTGGCCAAACATGACAAAAACAAATAGTTTCAAACAGAAGTTTCTAATGATTTGAACACGTATAATCAGACCCACACAGAGTCTGCAGCGCTGAATTAGGAACGTCCAAATTGCATGTTTGTTCATGAAATACTTATCTTTCTGCCTACTCTAAGCTTTATTATTAGCACATTTACCATATTAAAATCCATTATGTAGCATTGAAAATGCGATTAAGCCTGCAGATTCTGTCTGGGCCTGATTATCAGCAATAGATCAAACTGCAAATTAAAATACTAAAAGGTGTTTTGTATTCTGCTGTGGATTTTAGTTTGAAAAGCACTGTTGTTATATTTAAGGTCATATCGAGGCACTTTGCTATTTTTTTCATACGTGCAGTGTTTCTGCCTACAGAACAATGTTTACAAGAGAAGTGACATGCTGTAACTAACGCTGGCATGGCATATGTCTAAATGAATACATTCCCTTTACCATAACTAGTGTTCGGAGTTATTTATAAACGCAGTGCCATCTGAACACGCTGGACGAGATCCAACCTTCAGGGTTCCCACACTTCTGACCAGTCAGTGACTTTCCATGAGATTTCCAGAACATTCCGATTCACTAATGAATCATTCAAACTGATGACTGCTTTATGGCTTGCAAACAAGTTTTACTCAATGCAAGCGCAATATTTTAAACAGAACATTACTACTAGTCAAATCTATATTCATTATACAGATTTTTAAGAACTTTAAAGATTTTATGACTTTTCCAGATCTAGAAAACACAAATATAAATTTCGCTAACATTTTTTAATGTGATAAACTGATTTGTGAACCACTGATTCACTGAATCAACTCAAAAGAATGATTCACCCAATTCAGTTTTACTTGAGCCAATTTAATATTTTAGAGCATAGAGCAAATTTTTGAAGAAGTTAAGATTTTATGACTTTTCCGGATCTAGAAAACACAAATATAAATTTCCCTAACATTTTTTTACGTGATAAACTGATTTGTGAACCACTGATTCACTGAATGATTCACTCAATTCAGTTTTACTTGAGCCAATTTAATATTTTGGAGCATAGAGCAGATTTTTAAAAGAACTTTTAAGATTTTATGACATATATATATATATATATATATATATATATACACACACATTCATTATGGCACATTTATATATGTATATATATAATGAATGGATAGATGCACCTTATTTTGTTTTGGCGAACTTTCACACTCAGGATCATTGATTAAATGTATGATATCAGATTCGGAAGGATTTTCTAAATACAAAAAAGAAAAACAATTACAAACATAGATAATAGTTCACAAACAGTAAAGTATATTTGTCATTTATTATTAAATATAGAAGTGGAGAAGTGTTATGCATTTATGGCTGGGTGATATATTAAATATTAACTATTTATTTGCAATATATAGTGTTTGTCGTTTAGTCAGAGAGAGTGTGTTTTACCCTGTTACAGACGGGGGCTGTGGACGGAGAGAGTTTCAGGTCTCTTGCAAGTCCAGGTCTTTCTAGAGACATGATTAAGTTTCCTCGTTCCCCTCTAGAAGCCAGAGCATCTTCATCATCGCTTTTATTCTGGACTCACTACTTCTGCAAAACAGTGACGATAATCAACGACAAACTGTGTGTGACTTCAACTCATAAGCAGGGTTAATCTACTATTACTCATATACTGCTATAGTATCTAATATTTTGAATTAGTTCAAATTTTTATAAGTTCAGATTCCATTTTCATTTTTTTAACCAAGAAATCAATCAAATTCTAGCACTTTTCCAAACAAATCAATGCAGTTCAAAGTGCTTTACATGCAAGAACAAGCAATTGACACTAAAATTAGAATAACAAATAAAAACAGAACCATAAATAGATTATACCAATAACATTAAAAACGTTAAAAACATAAAATAGACAATCAAGGGAGATAAAAACCAAAGCATACAAGAGATTACAAGAAAGCCAGACTAAAATGGTTAATTTGAGATATTTTTATATAGTTTTATTTTTATTTCTGTTTTATATACTTAATTGCAGTTAGTTCCCAAGGCAACATTTAAGGTTTAGTGTTTATTTTTTTAATCTAATATTTATATTTCCTTTTATTTCAATTATCAAAAACTATGTTTAATAGATTTAGTTAACAATAACAACACTGCTTATTAGATCATTACCTGCATCTTGTGTCTTGTATCAAGATATAGTTCTTATGATTAGTGTCTAGATTTGCCTCTGATGAGAAATGCATGAGAGCCGCCTTTCTTTCTCGGTCTCGCACTGGACAGTCATCTGCAACAGAGAGAAACAGACAGAAGACAGATGATGCACCAAGCTTGCGCAGTTTGGTCATTGCATGCACCAGGTACAAACAGTGGAGCGGGTGTTTCTTGACCACAGGATTCAGCAGCTTGTGCAGGGAAAAGATGTCCTGTTGTAGTAGCTACAGATTCAGTCTCTCCAGCATTTCCAAACGCTCAATCCCCTACAAACATCAGCATGACATTTACACAACAGAATAAATGTACAGATGTACAGTCAATTATAAATGTCATGAAATGTATAAATATATATACGTGCACACCTGAACTGTGACCAGTGCATTATGCGAAAGATCCAGTGATTTCAGACGCACAAAGTTCTTTAGGGAAGTTCCTAAATGACAGATTTTCCCTTCATATGTTCCTGGTAGAGCCAACGATCGGAGTACATCCGCTGCGATAAATCATTAAAAATATTAGTTAATCAAATAGTGACTATATATATATATATACACACACACACATGTATATATTATATAGTCCCTATTTGATTAACTAATATTTTATATTTGTTATATTTATTATACATATACATATATATATATATATATATATTTATTTATTTAGTCATTTATCAGACGCTTTTATCCAAAGCGACTTACAAATGAGGACAACAGAAGCAATCAATTGTAGTATTAAAACAACTAAAAACAGATCTAAAACTAAAAGCTAAAACTTTATAAATACTACCTATACACATTTAAATAATAAAGAGATTAAATAAAAATGACAAATGCATAACAAAATTTCAAAACATTTAAATGAAAAACAAAAAATAAAGCTAAAAACAATTCAAAATATTAAAGAACAAAAGGTATGAGTATAATAATGATTCTAACATAACGCTAAGCCAAACACCAAAAAACAACTACATATATGTCTATGTACAACCATACACATATATACGTATATATATATATACATTTATAAATTCAATATATATATTATTTAATTTCCATTTAGTTTGTTGAAGTATTAAAATAACTCAAATTAAATAAAACTAAAAACTGAATAAAAGACCTATACAGACATAATAAATTCAGACATAATTTAACTCAAATTAAAATAAATAACAAATACAAATAATACAAATCAAATGACAGTAGTTTATCAGTAATCCTAAAAAATAACACTGCCAAACACACGTTAAAAAACAATAACTTAACATAACATAAGTATGTAATATGTTTTAGTTTACCAACACAACTGTGCTGATTTACAAACTGTCTGCCGCCATTGTTTTGAAGCTTGAATTCAGTGTGCGCAACTGCGCATGAGCAGAACTAGGATTGGTTTATTAATATTAAATACGTAATGTGACGCAGGCGCGTCTGATTCGCTGGAAACCAAGACATTGGCGAGTCAGTTGGTGAATTAGCCAATCAAACTTTGGTAACAGCTTAGCTCATGAATATTGATTACGTACGCTTGTTTGAACGTGTGTCTCTGAGTAAGGTTACCGAGCGACAGCGACACTTAGGCTACTGGTGTATTTATGATTAATTTGTGGACACAGGTGAGGAAGACGCTGTTAAACTACACCAGAAATATATTTAATCAAAGGAAAGTTGTCGAAATATTCCTTAAACCGGAATATTAAACAGGCAAAGCGCTCAACTGAGAAAGTATGTAAAGAAATGTTTGCGTATCACCCTCTGGTGGCAAATCAGCGCCACCTCAGGCCACTCATATATAACTGATATGTAATTTGATTCTCAAAACGATGTGAATTTTCAAAGAATATCAAACATTTGGCACCCGAATTATTCCTAAACTGTTGTTTTTCCACAAGGGGGCGCTTAAGGGCTCAGAGGACCGAATCCTACATTAAGCCGCATTCAATTCTCAGGACGTTTTATATATTATTGGAGATGTTTATTCTAAAAATATATATATAAAGTAATCGTAAATGTATTAATTATACGGGTTTTTATCTGACATAAAAATTAAAATCCACTCAGCGATTTCTATAAATTAATTTATTAAAAAATACGTACCTGTGATCACAAACGACTCTGATTGGTTCATCCCGAGAAAAGTAACAAACAACACGTGACATGGCGATGTTTTAAATAAATAAAACTTTAGTAATAATTTAATATACTTACAGATTATTTTATTGTACCGTGATTATACGCGTTTCATATTTTTTAATTTAAAATTTAATTAAAAATGTAAAATAAGCGACTCTGATTGGTCCATCCTGGCCAGCGCTAACATGTCGCTACTTCGATATGCAAAGTAGTAAATGTATACTTTGATAAATACATATAAAGAGACTTTAGAATTTAATTTTAAACGTAAACTCCATTCTTTTTATTTCGTGGGGACGTAATATAAATAAGCCCCGCCTACTTTTACATCCTCGCTTGCCATTCCTTGCGTTTCTGATGCAGAATCAGCAGTGAGCATCATCAGCACCATCATCACACCGAGCGCAGGTGCATTGATCCCAGCACTTTTCTCCTCTCTGCTGGATAGGATGAGACGATGGCTCGCAGGAGAGATGAAGATGATGATGATGACGGACACAAGCTGATAGAGGAAGAGGAGGAGGAGGAGGAGGATGCGCGTCTCTTCATAGACAGCGAGGATGAGGACGATCTGTCCCTAGACGAGATTTTACATCTATACAAGCAGCCCATCAACGAGGAGCAGGCGTGGGCTGTGTGTTACCAGTGCTGTCGCTCTTCTCGGGAGGATTCTGCTGGTACCGGAGGAGCGGAACATGTGAGGATCTATAAAGACGGATCGGTGCGGCTTCATTCCGGAGACAGATCAGGTGACAAATCAACACCTTCCGCATCCATTATTGCATTTCTATACATATAATAAACTGACATGGATTTGGGTGCAAATGTTTTGAAACAGCTTATATATTTCCCTTTTTACCTTCTAGTGTTCTGCATCACAAAATGTGCCTAATATTGAATGCATCACCTTATGTGCGAGAATTGGATATGAAATGCTATGTAATCGTGCCATGCTCCTAATATCTTTTTTGCATTGTACATTTTTGACAGCACTGAGCTATTATGTAACGCATGGGATGCATGCGAAATAGACCTTTATCTGCAGGTCAAATTGAATATCGAGCATGCATGAGTCTAAAATAATCACAAGACAGCATAAATTAAGCATAAAAGCCATGTAAGTGCTCACAGTCACCGTTGTTTACATGCTCTCTGATGCACAGAGAAATACACATGCTGATGAACACAAAATAGCTCCTGATCAGGGCCTGTGCTGTAAAGACATTTCATATTCGTAATGCTTTTTGTGTGTAACATGTTACATGTGTGTGACTTTATTGACATTATGTGCTAAAATTATCCAGTAGCCCATGATAGTTGGTATTTAGGATTTGTGTTTTGGGTATGTATAAAACAGAGTTATGATGGTTAACTAAAACTAAAACCATTAAAAAAAACAAATGCATACATATACATACATAAATAAATAAATTTCGTTACTTGAAATAAAATAACATAAAAAACGTAAAACGTATTTAAACTTATTTTAATTCAGCTAGTTGCCAATCAGTGTTATTTTAGTATTTTTAGTTTTTATTAATATTTTATTAATTAAATTAATATTTAAAGTTTTATATTTTCTGGTTTCATTTTAACTTTAGGTTTTTGTGTGTGCTTTTGTCATATTATTTTTTATTTTTTATTTTAGTTTAAACCAGTAATTAAAAATTAGATATGTTGCATTGGCAACTATAATATAAAATAATTTTAAGTAGTTTTTATTTTACTTTATTTCAGTTAAAGTTTATTTTATTTAAAGATATGAAAAAGTTATTTTATGGTTTTAATTATCTATAATAACCCTGTTGTCAAGGCAACATTTCTCATTTTCATTAAGTTTAAACTAATAACTAAAATAAATGTACTAAATATAACTAAAACTGAAATAATAATGAATAAAAACTATATATACATAATAATAGAAATGACAAAAATGCACAACAAAATTACTAAAACATTAACAAAAATTAAAATGAAAATGGAAAATTCTAATTCAAAATACTAATAAAAAAACTATAATAGTAATGATACTAAAATACTGGTCTGAAACTGACCTGCCAGGCACCTGTGCTGAATGGAGAATGAGGTTAAAATCTTTGTAGTTCAAGCCCAATTAAAGGCATTGTGATATCCCTAATGCTTTAATCGTTTCACATGTTGAAGTGCTGCTGATAATAATGAAATGTGCTCATTGTGCAGCTTATCCACGGCTTAAAAGATTGAGATATTTATTACAGATGGATTGAGCTGATGCCTTTCCAGAGGATGATTTTATTGCTCAGAGGTTTCTCTTTCATCGCTCAGGAGACTAAATGGAGTTTGCAGTTATGTGTCATCATCAGATGTTTCACCTAAGGCAGTAGTTGACTTACAGTAGAGATATAAAACGAATGTAGCTCAGATCATTTGATGAGAAATGCATGAGTTAGTATTGAGATTTATGACTTTTGATTGCAGACGTTGCAGATCTCTGAGATATTCCCAGAGGAGCTCAGTTTGTCTTTTAATAAACGCACGTGTCATTACTTTCTTGCAATTCTTTCTTGCATTACTTTCTTGAGACATGCTGTCAAGATCGATAGGCTATGTCTTGCAGGTTCCAGGCAGAGTTGTTGTTTTGTCAAAAGTGTCGGTGGTGAACTTGTTCCTCATTCGCTGTCGACTGAAGAATAACAGCGGAGAGATCTGTTTCTTTGCTGGCTTTGCCTTGTTCTGCTGCAAAAACACTCTGAGATTAAATGGATTTCAAAAAATTGTTTTTGCATATTCAATCAAAACCAACTGACCTGGGTTGTAATTAATGGTGTTACATAAATAAAATTGACATTGACATTGACAGTTTGATACACTCAGGTTGTCGGTTAAAGGAAAATTTGCTTAAAAATGTCCCTCAGGCCATCCAAGATGCAGATGAGTTTGTTTCTTCATCAGATTTGGAGAAATGTAGCATTGCATCACTTGCTCTGCAGTGAATGGGTGCCATCAGAATGAGAGTCCAAACAGCTGATAAAAGCATCACAATAATCCACAAGTAATCCACAGCACTCCAGTCCATCAGTTAACATCTGGAGAAGACAAAAACTGCGTGTTAGAAACAAATACATTTTTAAGATGTTTTAAACATCAAACTGTTGCTTCCGACTAAAATAATCCATAATAACGCTTCCTCCAGTGAAAAAGTAATCTGGTCTGAATCAGGAGAGAAATCTGCACAGATCAAGCACCGTTTACAAGCCAAAACAGAACAAAACAAAACAAATATGTGGCTGGATTTTGATGTGAGAAACAAGCCGGAAGCAACAGTTTGATGTTTAAAACGTCTTAAAAATGGATTTGTTTCTTACAAACTCGCAGTTTTTGTCTTCTCCAGATGTTAACTGATGGACTGGAGTGCTGTGGGTTACTTGTGGATTATTGTGATGTTTTTATCAGCTGTTTGGACTCTCATTCTGACGGCACCCATTCACTGCAGAGCATCCATTGATGCTACATTTCTCCAAATCTGATGAAGAAACAAACTCCTCTACATCTTGGATGGCCTGAGGGTGAGCACATTTTCAGCAAATCTTCGTTTTTGATGAACTACTGCTTTAATAGTCATCAGATGCATAAAGATTATCTGCGTCCCGTTTGCAGCCGTCAGTGTGTTTTATGTAAGAACAAACAGCGCTGCGGATTGTCCAGTCAGTTACATAAGGGATGTGCAGTGAGCGCTGTAAGCTGTCGTCTGAGTTCTTGTTCATCTTCTCTTCTGTTCTCCCACAGGTGTGTGTAATCCCAGCCGATCCTCCACACAGGTGAGTGATGCACACTAACGCAGCATCTGTGAATGAGCAGAAACATGTTTGTTAGTTCAGTCTTGACATAGATCCATAACACTTGGAAATTTCTTCACAGTTCTTCACAGTGTTTCCAGCTGTTACTATATGGTTGCTATGGTGTTGTGGATGGTTGCCAGGGCATTGCTACACAGTTGTTAAAGAATTTGATATAGTTTTTATTAATATTTTGAATTAGTTTTTATTTTTATATTTTCAGTTTTTGTCTTAATTTGAATTAAATTTTTAGTAATTTTGTTTTGTGGTTTTGTCAATGTTATTGTTTTGTTTTAATATTGCCTTTTAGGTTTAATTTATTTTTATTTCAGTTTTAGTTTTAGCTCAGTTTTAGATTTGTTTTATTTCCACTTAGTCATTTTACAGCTTCAACCTAAATTAACAATTAG